TAACCCCTAAACCTCTAGACTGCAGGCTCCTGCTTTGTTATCCAAAGACTATTCTGAATAGCATTTCCTGTAAATCTGAGTGTTGCTTGACCCACCAGAAAGGGCATTCGTGTATTATCCCTGTCTTTCAAAAATACTCATCTCACCTCGGTTTCTCATTGGCCTACTACAACAACTCACTATTTCCTTCATCCCTTCCCAGGCAGCCCTTGGCTACTGTTTTTTCAATGTATAAATGTTGAAATTTCACTCTTCTGGGTACAGTAAAGATGCTCCATCCATCTTCTTTTTTGTTTTTGTTTTTGTTTTTTGAGACAGGGTTTCTCTGTGTAGCTTTGCGCCTTTACTGGAACTCACTTTGGAGATCAGGCTGGCCTCGAACTCACATCCATCCATCTTTTTACTTCATCTTAGGGACAGCTCCAATTTAGGTCTTTTGAGCATCCAGAGTCACAGATATTTGCTTTGGTCTCTTGCTGGAGGAAGAGGTAAAGCCTTTAGGCACTTGTGGGAATTAAGCATGCTGCCCCCCAGCACCACCTCCACAGGAGGCAGCAGCAGCAACAGTGAAATGATTGGTGGAATACTTGTTGTTCCTAGAGGCTTGGGTGGTAAAAGGAAGAGGAAGAAGGTTGTACCATATCTAAAGTTTCTTTGCTCAAATTTGCAGAGGTGAAGGCTAATGGCTGAGAAGGAATCTACTGAGTTAGTTGTTTGTTAGGTAATCAGTACTTCAAGTTTGGAGGCAATTTCTGAAGATTGGTGAGGTGGTCATTTCATAGATAGGCCTACGATGGCTCTCAAAAGGTTGAAACTTCAAAGCTTTATATTGTTCCATGGTGGCTATGGGATGACAACCCCAATGTCCTTCTCAGTCACTGTCCCTTTCAAAGTCAACAGATTTATGTGTTTTTGTCAGTTTTACATGCTTAACGTATGACCTGGAAGAGGTCTTGCATGTGCAATATGTATGGGTTAAAATAATTGATAATGGACAAATCTTAGTGCCAGACTTCCGCAAATCCAAATGCAGACTTGAAATTATTTTTATCAGCTGTGTGGTGGTACACACCTTTAATCTCAGCACTCTTGAAGCAGAGGCAAGTGATCACTGTGAGCCCAAGGTTAGCCTGGTCTACATAGTGAGACTCTGTCTCCAAACAAACAAACAAAACTCGATGGACAGGGTAAAGTATCATTTATTGGTGTGCCTTAAACTTTTAGTCTGAGAAACTCCCCTTGGCCTGAGCTCCAAGACTCTCCCCTGACTCAGTTTCCACTCCTGAGGTGGTCAACCCAAAGAGCATCTCTGCCGCTTGATTTCCATTATCCCTTTTAAGAGGCAAGAGCCTCATTCAGGGAATGCCTCATTGTGGAGGCTGCTCAGCATCACAGAGAACTATGGGCCTCTTCTCCAGGTGCTCTCTGAGAGGCTGTCAGTGGCCTTGTTCAGTGGCACTGGGCCAGTTGGTGGCCGTCTATCCTCGTTACTGGTCACAGCCACAGGCTTAGATCAGGCGAGCTTTTACACAGAGAAGCCATCAGCTCTCCTGCCTCCAATTAGTAGATTTCCCTTCAAGACAGGACAGCAGTGGACTCTCTTTCCAAATGCAGCAGGTTCACATGGAGCCACCTGAAGCTTGCAGAATATGGGATAGAGACCAAGAGGGCCCACTGAGTGTCCTCAACCACATTGCCAACTTGGTCTGCAGTAGCGCCGGAGGCAGATCTGCAGTCTTGGTGCTTAGGGAACCTACTTTGAAGATACTGCCTCCACCTGCCACTGCATCTTTCCATAGATGGAGCTTTGGAGTCCTCACCCTCCCCTGAGTTGTTGAGTGAAGTTCTTGCCTTTGGTGGGTACTACATTGAAAGGGGAAGATAATTTCAATGATTTCTCTAAGTCTACACCACTTTTGGTAAACCAACCCCTATGTGGAGGATTTACCTGGTCCAAGCATAGTGCTAAGAGATAGACGAGCAAGTGACTATTCAATGGCCACCTATCTAAACAAATGGCTTAGGCTTTATGAGATTCAGATGTTTTCCATCTACCTGGCTGTCCAGCTGCCATTAAAATGGAAGCCTGTGTGTCCAAAATAGCCTGGTTCAGTTACTTGCAGAGGTGCGAGCTAGTCTCCAGGCACTGTATTCCTCCTAAAGGAATTTCCAGGTGTGCAGCAGAGTCAGCCAGCATTTGGGATACCAGCTACACACAGCAAGGAGACTCAAGAGCCATCGAGCCTGCCAAGGCTCTCTAGCTCATCTTATGTGGGTTGAGATTTAAGTTAATTATTAGAAATAATAATTTAGTAGCGGTAATGAACCCTGCTACTCAAGGCCAAATCTTTACTAATCCTATAAGAGCAGACTAGTCACCCACAAATTATATGCTTGCTTCCCAAAATTTAATGTTGTGGTGAGTTTTGCTGTTTCTGAGCCTTGCGAGTTCTTCGATTGGACTCAATAAATCATCATTTCCTATTGAAAGGTTAGGCAGGGGTGACGGGAAAACGATGAATTCTTCACTCATGCTAGAAATTCTTTAATCTTTTTGGACTCGAGTTTTCCCCAGGCCTGTTTTTAAAGTCTGACTTCCTTCCAGTATCATTTTACATCCTTATTAATTTTTTAGAGGATGGAACAGAGAATGCCTCATTAAATTTTCCTGTCTTCAAATGGGATTGACGACGAGTACTAAGAGGCCCAATTAAGATTCATAATGATTTTTCCAGGTTGCATTAGATGGACACAGTCTGGAGAAGGTTTAGAGTTGATAAGCACAAAGTGGTGAGCCTAGGGATATGAAAAACCTGAACCACTGGTAAAAAGGGGGAGCCTGCAATAAGATCCAGTGATGTGATACCTGAGAATGGCACATCTGGATTCAGTCTTTGAGAACCATGAGGTAATGGAGTCTCAGCAAGGATCAAGTGTTTGCTGCAGTTTGCTATTGAATTTGGACACCTGCAACTATAGGAAGTCAAAAACTCAGGAAAGAGTTACAACATGATTCAAAACTCGGAAGGTAGCTTCCATCACGGAATGATATACAGGCCATGGATTATTATTGTTGTTTTTTTAACTAAAATGAGATACAATTTAATTATAGTACCCAAGTATACAACTGACAATATTTATTTGCTCCTGGGGATGCATAAAGATGGTTTGTCCTTACGGTGATAGATGTCTTCAATTTCAAGCTCAAATGGGCCAGAAAGGGAAGAGAACAAAGCTTAAGCCAGAGTCAAAATGTACTTAGACACTGAGAACTCTTCCTTATTAGGATCATAGGAATGTGGGAGAATGAGAATGAAGGGGATATGGGCGTCCTGATCAGAGACCTTGAAGAATAGGATAGCATGTTTGTCCATGCTTGGGTCTTGCAGAATTGTTCTGTGCAAAGGCACAGAAGTCTTCTAATGTCTTGGGATTCCGAGACATCTTTACCAATCGAGTCAGCCTCCAGCCCTTTGCCTGGTCACTGAACTATCCAAACATTTAGTTGTCTCTTATGGAAATGCAGTTCCTAACTCCCATCACTACCACCACCCCACCAACCCCGACCGCCACAAAGTCCTGCTGGGATTTTTATTAGGATGGCACGTGTTATATTGTTTAATTCATGGTGGAATCACCATCTGTAAAACATTAACATCTGGATCCAGGTCCACAGTAGTCTCTCTATTTATTTATAGTTCTAGCTGTTCCTAGCAAGGTGTTACACTTTCCACTGTAGAGATGGTCAACTTTAACTATGTCAATCTAAGTCTCTGAACTGACTTCCTGTAGTCCAGGCTGGTCTTGAACTTGTCTTCCTCCTGCCTCAGCATCCTGAGAAACTGAGGTTACAGACCAACAACCAGCTTTCTAGGCATGTGAGATGATTGGATGCTGCTGGTGGTGGTATGGTCCGAGCCCCCTTGATGCATATTCAGTAATACCTGTTTATTTCTAATAGTTCTGCTAGTGTGGATGTGAGAAGTGGTGCAGCCATTAACCTGGCTTTTTCTAGGACATCAGTTTGCTTCCCTACCCTATCAAGGTAGAAAGGGCTACTAACCTCACTTTACAAGAAAGCTGCCCCAGGAGCCAGACACTGCGGCCTTGGAAGTATTCTTTTGATCTACTCTGAATTCCTCCAGTTGGCATTTTCAGCCCATTTTTCTTTTGTTTGGTTCACAATGTTGCCTTCTAAAAAGTTTTCGTATCTAGCAGCCTGCTGTTTGAATCATCATGCAGATATTCTAGCCAGGAAAGCATGGAAAATATGTATAAGTCTTTTGAAAACTATGCATCCCTCTATATTATAGTCCCTGCATTAGGAGAGAATTTTCTCAGGATACAGCACTAAGATAAAATAGTAAACAAAATACTAATTCGTTCACGTGTGTGTGTGTGTGTGTGTGTGTGTGTGTGTGTGTGTGTGTGTGTGTGTGTGTGTATGCGCGTGCGTGCATGTGTCCCTTGGGGGAAAGGCCAAAAGAAAATACATAATATGAGAGTTATCTCTGGGTGACTAGTTTATCAATTATTTTTATACCTGTCTATATTTTCAGATATTTTACTATGAAGAGATATTATCTTTGCACTAAGAAAAAATCAGCATCTTCCAGTAGACAAAAGAAATTTTAAAACCTGAATTGAAATCACTACCATTTATTTGAACTTTCCTCCCCCTCCTTCCTCGTGTAAAATGTATTAAAATTGGCTGGTGAGAGTAAAACAGGTATGTGACATGTCTCAAGATAATCAGAAATGACAGCGTTCTTGGTCAAGAACATCAGCTTTCCTGCCAGTCCTCTAAGTAGCTATATATCCCATGTGGTATTGGAATTCACCCCCCATGCTTGGAACACTACCGCACACCTGACTCATTTCACGCTCCTTGAGTCCCGGGGTAAATCCCATATCCGCGGTGTGAGCTCCAGTGGAATTCATTAGCGGTCCAGATGTGTGTCCCCTGTCAGTCGCCTAGTAACCCTGCTGTTTATTGACAGGTTCTCAGGAGTCAGATAGCTCACAGTCGGCCAAGAAAGACATGCTGGCTGCCTTGAAATCCAGGCAGGAAGCTCTGGAGGAGACGCTGCGCCAGAGGCTGGAGGAACTGAAGAGATTGTGTCTCCGGGAAGCTGTAAGCAATTAAGTCTATGTTGTTTGTCATGTCATACATCTTCCGTATGGACAAAAGACAGGGTGGAGACAATACAGACTAACACAAGCGCTCTCTCTCCCCAGTGCTGGCAACACCCTCACCTCCAATGATACACTTTGTTAGAAGCAAGCTATCAAGAGAACACCAGTGTCAGTTAAAGCAGTCACTAGTTGAATCTTATGTATGACACACAGACGCCCCGAGGCTAAATGACAAGTCACTTTACCAATCTCAAAAACATGCATGGCATACCACAGTGTACAGGACATGTCCTCACAGGACACTGCCTCATTCTGTGTTTGTCCTACGGCTGCCTTCCTTTGCAGGGGCTTAGGCCTCAGTTTATTGCTGGGAAAGCTTCTGCTGCTTCTGAGTTTGTCTTTGGACACAATGTAGCATCACCAGAGGTCAACAAAGACAGTAGGATGTCCCCTGAGATACACAGTAGTCACTTTAAACCTGGTGATCTACTGTTTCAAGAGTTCTTCCTCTTGAGAATGAACTCTCTTCCTAGTTTGGGGGTGGTGGGGAGGTGGTGGTGGTTTGTTGTTGTTGTTGTTATTTTTGTGCTATGGGGTATTGAACCTATGGCTTCTTGCATGCTAGACTAGTGTCCTTCCACTGAGCTACATACCCAGTGCAGTGATTCGTTTATGTTTTATGTAAAGCAATGTTGCGTTGGGCTGGAGAGATGGTTCAAGGGATAAAGCAAGTGTGAGGACCTCAGTTGAATCCCGAGAACCTAGCTAAAAGCCTGGCTGAGTAGAACACGCCTGTATCTCTATGGTCTAATGGGAGGCAACCAGCCTAGTGTACTCAATGACAAATGACAAAAGAGACCTTGTCTCAAACAAGGTGGAAGGTGAAAGCTGATACCCAAGGGCTGCCCTGTGACCTCCGCATGCGGCCTATCACAAGTGTACACCCCCGACTCCCCACACAGAAAATGTCTCCTTCAGCCTGTTTTGGTGAGGATGGGTCCCAACTTCAATAAGTTTGTAGAGGCTCCCACAATCCACTTCGACATTTATTGAAATGTTCATTCCTGGAGGGGGGGGGGGGGAGCTGGAGAGATGGCTCAGCGGTTAAGAGTCCTAGCTGTTCTCCCAGAGGACCCAGGTTTGATTTCCAGCACCCACATGGCAGCTCACAATTGTCTGTAACTCCAGTTGCAGGGATCTGACACCCTCACACAGATATACATGCAGGCAAAACACCAGTGCACATGACATAAAAAAATAAAGAAATGTCCATTCCTCCCTTCTAATGTTTATTCCGTAACTCTTTGTTAGCAGTGCTTGTAGACATCACTCCTTAGTGTACCATCTACAGTCATGCATGTGTTACACACGCACACACATGTGCATGTGCCTCACATGAGCACAATGTGGGGTTGCTCTCCTGGAAGTGGCTGTGCTCCACAGACCATGACCAAAAGCTCCTCGGGTAAACAGTTCCGAATGGCAAGTATAAAGAAGGTCCCTAACTAAATCCAGGAGGTGAATTCCCTCCCCCCAAATAATAATGCTTTGCAGCAGAAAGAACGAAACAGTGGGCCGTAGAGTGAGATCACATTACATTTCAACTTGGCTTAATTATGTCTGGATTGATTTAAACCGGAGCTCGCTCAAGGCAGAACCACATTAGCACAAATCCTTTGCAAATCAGGAAAGCCATGGGCCTGGCTGGGGGGAATGTGCTATGTGATACTGTAAATATTAGCAACATTTTTTATAAAGACTATGCTTGAAGGAGAGAGAGAAAAAAGTATGGGTTTTGGTGTCTGCCTTTTATAATTTGTAAAGCCTTGTTTTGTATTTAATAAAAGAAGTTCCTAAACCAAGCAAAGAATATACATTACAGCATGTAAGAAACATGTCAAGGCAAGACCAGCATGTACCATAAAAGTTTCACAAACCCAATATAAGGAAAACAAGAACTCCCGCTTCCTATAACTTTGAGAACAGAAAATATAACTTAGGCAGAAGTAACCCACAGCCAGGCCTTTGTGCACATATGTTTATTTCCACCCGAGTCTCTGGACACAGGTGAGATAAAGGGGCCTCGGAGGCCCTCTGCTAACTTTCTGCTCATAGACCCTCCAGGCTCAAGTAGCAGGAAGTGCCATTTGACCCCTTGGGAGGGGAGCAGCTAGAGTGAGGCAGTGTGGGAGCTCTGGTGTTCTACAGCAAGAGGGCCCGTAGCCATGTGTTAAATTACTTCCCCACCATGCAGTTCTGGTTACCTATGAAATCAGATTGAATATCTGGAGAATGGAGACCTTGACCTAGGTACTTTCAGGCAGATGATGGAAAATCAGTAGCCTCGTTTTAAAAATATAGACTGAAACCACAGACACTTTAGAGGTACAAATCCATGGCAATGTTAACAACCTCTCTCTGCCTTTTTATACATTTCAGAACAGGAAGTCCTGACAGTTTGTTATTTATATATGTTAAAATAACAATCTTAGCAGGTTGTTATTTGTAGAAGGCCTAAGCAGGGAGGAGGTAAGAAATCACAGAATAAACATATGAGAATCTGAGAAACACTTGAACCCTTTTTTTTTTTTTTTAAGAGAGAATATTGCAGAGGCAGCCATCCAAACAGGGGGGGGGGGGGCATCCTGTTCTTAAATTCTAAAATGCCTCCGTAAGGAAAAAAGGTCCAAGGAGCCATATCTAGTGCTGTGAACGCAGAAGGCGCCCAGGCGGGGGTTGCTTGTGCACACACATACCACATAGACACGCATGCTGGTGTAGTCAGCCAGCCACGCGGGAAGAAGGGCTTGGGGGGTGGGGGCCCCTCCTGTGAGTTGACTTTTCCTGCTGTGGGCACTCAGGCCTGGGCTGCGAACACAAAAGCTCTCTATGTGGGTGACAGAGTTTCAAGAGGACACTTCTGAGCTCTTCCTCCTCACAGCCCCCCTTGTGGCATCTGCATTGACTGAGGGCCACAAAGCCAGAGCTCGCATTGCTGAGATGTGCCTGCTGAATGCACAGAGTGGTGTCTCCGGCCTCTTCTAGTGTCGGGCGGTGGTGACTTCTTGCCATTCTATCTGGCTTCCACAGTGTGGGTTAACTGCAGACTTAAACCAATCCTTATTCAAGTCAGATGTAGCACACTCCTGCCCAGCCTTCTAATTCTGAGCGATCCTTGAGATCGTCTATGCTGGCCAGGGTCACTGTTGAATCTACCATCTGCTCACTATCATTGTGCCTATGACAGAGTTCCAGAATTTCTTTCATATGTATATAGCAAATTTATACATATATAAAATATATATGCATATATATGCATATATATATATAAATCTTCTGTTCAGGGTTTTTTTTGGTTTTTTGGTTTTTGGTTTTTAATTAAAACTCTCATATAAAAGTTAGGGGTTTTTTGTTTTGTTTTGTTTTAAGATATATTTATTTATTATGTATACAGAAGAGGGCACCAGATCTCATTACAGATGGTTGTGAGCCAACATGTAGGTGCTGGGAATTGAACTCAGGACCTTTGGAAGAGCAGTTGGTGCTCTTAACCTCTGAACCATCTTTCTAGCCCTTTTTGTTTTGTTTTTTAAGACAAGGTCTTACTATGTAGCCAAGACTGGCCTTGAACTCGTAGTCCTGCTGAGTATTGGGGGATATAGGCTTGCAACATCACACCTGGACAGGTCTTTAAGGTCAACCTGCTGTCGTTGAGTATGGGGCCAGCGTCGAATGGTGGTCGGCATATTCAGTCTTTTTTAGATAATGCAGTGTCCTGGCATTTGCCATACAGATGGCACTGCCCGTAAGAAAACTCATCTGGGAAGAGAGAAAAACAAAAAACAAAACAACAAAACCCCTTAAGTTTCCAAGAAGGAATATCTGACCCACGTGCAGAGAAGTTGTGTCGATTGCTACTGTAGCCTTTCTTCACATGTAGTAGGTTCACAGGAGACACTCGCTAGATCAGCAAATGAATGAAAACGGACTACTGTAAAGTCCAAGAGAAGCTCATTTCCTTGACAGAAATTTATCTGGGGAGGGGGAAGCGCAAAGCACATCTGCTCTGTAGAGAAGGGAGTGTCGTCTGCCCTCAGTTGCTTACTCATTTTTTTTTTTTTGGTAGAAGCTAAATTTCATAACGTGAACTCTTCCTCATGCCCCCCCCCAACACTGGGGATTGAACTCAGGGCCTCCTTCATGTGTACTGCGCAAGCAGGCTGCCCCTGAACTCTATCTGCAAATCTTTTTGAGGAGGGCTGTTTTGTTTTGGAGGGGTCTTCTGAGACAGGGTTTCATTAGTTGGCCAGCCTGGTCTTGAATTTGTGACCCTCCTACCTCAGCCTCCTGAGCAGCTGGGTTGCAGATCTCTACCATCAGGTCCAGCTGTATCATGAACTCTTAGTTAGGCATAGTGCTTGTGGCTAACGGGTCTCACATAATCATCAGGTCTGTGCGTTCTGGAACAAAGACAAGCGTGTCCTCTGCCGATTTACAACCTCTCTGAATGCTCTTCCGCACATGCAGGAGCTCACAGGCAAACTGCCTGTTGAATATCCCCTGGATCCAGGAGAGGAACCACCTATTGTTCGGAGAAGAATTGGGACAGCCTTCAAGCTAGATGAACAGAAAATTCTGCCTAAAGGAGAGGTACGTTCCTCTGGTGGTGGAGTCTTTCCCATTATCCCTTTTGCATTATCCTTATTTGCCCCACTTGCTGGAGCTACTAGGTTCTGCATAATTTCTTTATTGTTTCCGGTGGCACACACCTTTAATCCCAGCACTCGGGAGGCAGAGGCAGGCAGATCTCTGTGAGTTCGAGGCTAGCCTGGTCTACAGAGTGAGTTCCAGGACAGCCAGGGCTACACAGTAAGATACTGTCTTGACAAAAATAACAGACAAAGCACCCAGCCCAAGTTAAAGAGAAACAAAAAGCCGGGTTTACCTTCAGGCCTCAGGTCTTCCCAAATGTCTTCTGACTGGAGTTGCTGATTAATAAGCTAGTAAATAGAAGTCTTAAGACAAGTTCAGGACTCAAAGTACATTAGGTACTTGTCTTGTTGTGGGGATAAAATGTCCTGACAAGAGCGGAGGAAGACAAAGGAGGGAGGGAGGTCGGTTTCCTTTGGCTCACAGGTGAGGACACAGTCTCGGTGGGGAGGCATGGCCAGGAGCATGAGGCAGCAGGTCATGCTGCATCTGCAGTCAGGAAGCAGAGAACGATGAGCATTGTACTCCGCTCGCTTCCTCCATCTGTGGACTGGTGTCACCGACATTTAGGGAGGGTCTTCCCACTCCAGTGAACTTAGTCTAGGAATCCCTCTCAGACACTTGACAATGAAGAGTTACCACCACAAAGGGAGAGAAAAGCAAGGTACTTTTAGCTTTCTAAGGAACTTGGAGAAAGACAGTCTCCTAAAGCAAGGTCAGCGTGAAGGTGGAGGACATGCGTTCAGGCCTATGCCTGTGGCCTATAGTTACAGATCCTTGGAAGCCTGCTGGGTACCCCCGAATGCTTCATCCAAAGTGATACCTAATCAGGCCGCTTCCTCTTCCTTATGCTCAAGTTCTTGGTGCTGAGTTTTCTGGGTTATCACTAGGATTAAATGAGCTAGAAGAACATTTCACTGGATACTTAACACATGCCTGATGCTCAGCAAACAGCTGCTGGAAATAGAGATGAGATGTCAAAAGAGGGGCGTGATTTAGGGCACCATGTGTCAGCTGTCTTCCCGAGCTGGATCGTCATCACGGCTTGAGCTTTAAAAAGAGCGCCCCACCTTAAATGAGTGCCCTTCCACGCCTGGATTTCCCACTGTTGTATTGCAGTCCTTCCTACTTTTCAAGAACGCTGACTCTAGAGCTCTGAGAAAGCCTTGCTGGCCCCTGTGCATCTTTCTGAAATTCGTAAGCGGAAGCAGATAGAATTCTGCAGAGCTTCCTCCGACAGGAAGAGGCTCACTCTTGCTCTGTGCTGCCCCAGCTCTCCTGGATCCCCATTTGCTTTCCTAGCCATATGACCATTTCCACAGACAAGGCATTCAGTCTTGTCCTTGACTCAGTTGAAATATCAAGACTTGTTCTAGACACCCGCAAATCTCAGGGTCAGTGTCTTGGACCAGAGTTATCATAACCGCCCAGGAACATCTGCTTCTGGGAGCCCAAATTTACAGGCTAGGCTTTGTCCCTGTCCCAAGGCTCTGGGCAGGAGTCCATGTTGATATCCTTCTTCCTCTGAGAGAACAAGTGTGGCCAGCACTGGAAGGATCTGGAAGGAGTTTATTGTCCCTCTAAGTGGTTCCTTTTAGCCCTTACTTTTTCCTCCCACTCCTGGTTCCTGCCTCCTCTAGACTTGGAGTGCTCAAAAGTCATTGAAATCAGGCAAAGAATATTTTCCTTAGTAGACACCCCCACTCCCTGCTCTCCCGATTTGGCCTGTTGTGCTCAGAGGCACACTGTCGGACTACCGTAAGAGGAAGACATGTGGAATCCAGGAAACACAGCAGTCTCCTCTTCCTTAGTTTGGTCAGTCCCTGTCAAACTTTAACGTAACTGCAAATCATCTAGGGCAAGATATGTGGTCTCCAATGGTCATGTGTGGGTACTGGGAAAAAGAAGCCACTGTGTGGTCATCATAGATTTATGTAGTATGGGCTTTATTGGAGTCCATATCTCCTATGAGCTCCCAGAACGCACCCAGGCTGCTAGTGCCCTTGCACCCACCAGATACTCGAGCTCCAGAGTGACTCTTGCTGCTTAGAGCCAGCTTTGATGAAGTAGTTCCAAAGTAAATCAGCTGACTGTCTTGACACTATGAGAAAATGCCTGACAAGAGCAACACCCTGGCCCATGCTTTCCAGGACTATCATTTCACCATGGAGGAGAGCCTGGAGGCTGGAGCACTTGGTGAGCCTTGTTAAATCTTGGCAGCAGCTGGGCGGTGGTGGTGCATGACTTTAATCCCAGCACTTAGGAGGCAGAGGCAGGCAGATCTCTGTGAGTTCGAGGCCAACCTGGGCTACAGAGCGAGTTCCAGGAAAGGAAAGCTACACAGAGAAACCCTGTCTCAAAAAACCAAAAAAAAAAAAAAAAAAAAAAAAAATCTTGGCAGCAGTAGGAAACAGAGAAGCTGGGCAGCAGGCACAGTTATCAGTCCCAACCTCTCCTACCCCACCACATTCCCAGTCACCTGCTTCTTCTAGCTGGGACTCGCTTCCTCCAGGCTACACAGCTTTCTAAAACAGTGTCAGCAGCTGGTAGCCAAACATGAGGGCTAGTCTATATCCAAAGCATTAAAACCAGGGAAGGGAAGAAATAAAGAAACGAACTGCTTGATATTTAAAGGGCATTCATCTACAGATCATTTACATGATCTGCCTCCACCCCTAGTGTGTGTACATCTGCAGAGGAGACATCTGGACACTATCTTCTGGGTCTTCCAGGCAAATCTGGCATCACAGCCTCATTCTCCCAGGCCCAGAACACAGGGGAGACTCATCTTGATAGAAGGGCCAAAGGAAGTGAGAGAGATAGGAGGGAATTACACAAGAAGGCAGGAAGGGAGAGAGTCCAAAACCTATCCAAGGAGCAGGGGGAAAAGTGGTTTCACTATCTACCCCCACACCATCTTTGCCTCTTAGAGGGCCCAGAAGGGCTTTTATGAACACACAAGTATGAAAAGAGGAGTTAGGGCTTACAGAAAGAGCTTCCAGAAGTCACCCGGGTGAGTGGGGATGTGTCCGAACATGAGACACACAGAGATGTATGACAGAGGGCGTGCGTGGGAGGATCAGGAGATGTCCACGCATGAGCAAACCCGAGAGGACAGTAACAGAAGGCTGCTCCAGAAGTCATGCTGTGTCTTATGCCCCAAGTAAAAAGAAAAGGATAGCAATGGGGGGTTCTGAATTTCCTCTAAGGCTTGGTCTTCAACAGACCTTGGTAGAGGTGGGAGAAAGGAAGATTGGAAAAGCTGGGGCAGAGGTCTGGGCTAAAGGCGGGCAGGGTAAGGTCTTGTTGGGCAGCAGGATCTTTGGAAGCCGTAAGCATTGATTTTACCTCCCACAGGAAGCTGAGCTGGAACGTCTGGAACGAGAGTTTGCAATTCAGTCCCAGATCACCGAGGCTGCCCGCCGCCTAGCCAGTGACCCCAATGTCAGCAAAAAACTGAAGAAGCAGAGAAAAACCTCTTACCTGAATGCACTGAAAAAGCTGCAGGAGATTGAAAATGCAATCAACGAGAACCGCATCAAGTCAGGGAAGAAACCCACCCAGAGGGCGTCACTAGTCATAGACGGTCAGTGCCACCCACAAACTCCTTCCCTGCTCCCCGACAACCAGGTCCTGTTAGGTCCTAATCTGGATCCTTGCAGGATCTAAATAGCCTCTTACCCGTGTACCTTATCATCCATCCAGGAAAGGGAAGGGGTAAGCCCAACACTCCATCCTAATAATCAAGTGCATGTGGAGGCACAGATGAAAGAGACCATACACAGAACCTCCATGTCACTTATGACACTTGCCCTGGGGGAACCTGCAGGGATAAGCCAGCTCTCTTTTCAGATGTCACCATGAACTATGGAAGTTACTGTGCTAGCCCAGCCCAGCCTCAACATAGCTGAAACTCTGCAGTGCTCAGAAACTTAACCTCTTTTCCCAAGACTAGAAAGGCAAAGGGCACAGCTAGGGTATTAGAGTGAGTCCTTCAGGCCACCACCCTGTCCCCCGTCTGTCCCCCTCTAGCTAATCCTATTAGCAGGAGCTTCTTTGTTTGTTTGTCAAGATAGGGTTTCTCTGTGTAGCTTTGCGCCTTTCTTGGAACTCACTTGGTAGCCCAGGCTGGTCTTGAACTCACAGAGATCCGCCTGGCTCTGCCTCCCGAGTGCTGGGATTAAAGGCATGCGCCACCACCGCCCGGCTAGCAGGAGCTTCTTATCCTAAGAACTGCAGTGTGAAGTATTAGACTGTCCCTCGTGGATTGTCTGGAGTGCATGTTCTGATCCAGGCTCAGGCATGGTGGTGAGGATGTAAACTAGAAGGAAATGCCTTCAAATCCACCGACAAGCATCAGGTCTCTCCCACTGTTACCATCTTTTCTCCAGTTCCTCGAATTCTTGGTAATGTATGTCAGTACTCTCCCAGAGGGTACACGTCTTGAGAATACCTTAGTTCTAAGAAGACAGGAACTGACACAGGGGTTTCCGAGAGCTTTGTGGCGGTGGGAATGGGTGAGTGCAAGGTTTCTAGTTGGGAAAGGAAAGCCCTAGTCCAAGGAGAAGATGGGTGGTGGTGTGGTTGTGTAATCATGTTGGTGTACTTAAGGCCCCTGAACACTTAAAATGGGGAAAATGATAACCTGTGTTATATATATATATATATATATATATATATAGATATAGATATAGATATAGATATCTAGATATCTAGATATCTAGATATCTAGATATAGATATAGATATAGATCTGTCTCCTGAAAACATGGGGATACTAAGGAGGCAGTAGTGGATTGGAGATTACAAGATATCAAAGTCAAAGCCCTCTGTCTCCTTGGAGTTCATCTATCAAATAACAGGGAGAAAGTGAGTTCCTAGTTGGGAGGGAGGGATAGGGCTGACCATAAAAGTCATCCTTTTGCTCTAGGAACTCAGAAGTGCCCATCTTTCTGTATCTTATTCTGTCGTCCTTTGCCATGAAAGTGGAACTCTCCCCCACTTTCTAACAGGGCTACAGTGAGTCAGCCCTTTTCTGTCATCCCTCTTTGGGGGCCTCCTCAAAGGCGTTTGAACTTCCCTGCTCTGTGGAAACATCTAGAAGAACCATCAGAGCTATGGCTGGGAAGAGCAGCCTGGGGGTACCCATCTCACCAGGTGGCCTAGGGGAGCCCATTCTGAGGCCAGCCTGAATGAAGGCTATTCTCTTGGGTCTGCCGGCAGCACTGGCGTCTAAATCATTACCTGTGCCAGCTCCTGATACCTCCCATGCAAGCCTCCAGCCATGTTTGGTTAACTGCTCGAGAATCCGCCTTCCCTGCTTTGCTGCCACAGTGGAGTAATGTTTTCATCACAGAGGCCCATCTGCGTTAGGAGCGAGGGAGCAAGCTCCTTAGATCCCCAGGAATGTTTCATCTCAAGAGTTGAATGATACACTCAGAATCTGAAGACTTTGGACCTTTGTTGACGTTTCCCAGAGAGTAGAGTCACTTCAGACAAACCCCCTCTTTTCCTGAGAGTACCTCAGTTTCCCCAGTGGGAGAGAGGATTGTTTTACTGTCCCCTCTCAGGCATGTTCTTAATTGAATGGTGACTATAAAAACCAGCTTTGGAGAGATGGAGTCTGTAGTTAGCACGCTTGTTTTCTCTGCTAATGACTTAAGTTCATTGAGAAACCATTTATTACCATGTGAGCAAAACTAAGTTCCCTCCCCTGGTTTCGTATCTGTTGACTAACAGCTGCTGACTTCTTTGGTTCGGCTGGTACTTGTCCCGAGTTTGCTCTAGGACAATGATGTGGCTTAACCAGGTCCCACCACCTTTCTATGATTGCTAAGCCACAGTATCTGGTGAACAAGAACATAAGTACACAAAGACTAGGACCCGTTGCGGAGCTGGGGTGGGGAGGGTGTGCTCACAACCCACCATAGGGACTGTCAAAGGAAACACCCAACCATGTCTGTCTTTCCTGGCTTCTTTCCTTGCTGATGCAGAAAAGATGGGAGAGTGTTGCAGGCTGCTCTTTCCTGCACACAGGGCTTTGTTTCCAGAATGTATTAACCCTGGAGACTTTCACTTTTTGTCTTCTAGATGGAAATATCGCCAGTGAAGACAGCTCCCTCTCGGATGCCCTTGTTCTTGAAGATGGTAGGTTTCCCCATTCCCTGCTCTTAAAAGTGGACTCCAGGTTAAACCAGATTATTCTGTAGGCAGCCTGGGAATGGCTAGAGACAGGAAAGAGGCAGGCTGAGACAGGGACTGGACGCGTGGCAGGCTCCTTCCTCCCCCAGGAGACACTGTTGGGCTCACAGTGAATGTTACATTGACACCTGTTTCCCAGGGTTATCCAACCTGCAGCTCTTGTGTCCTAGTACCATAGAAAATGCATATATGCATGCCCTGAGAACCTGTGGGCCATGGGTTGGACACTATTGGAAATGTATGGCCTAAGACAATTATTGTTTGTCCAATGTGGCTCAGATAAGCCAAAAGGTTGGACACCCCAAGTGATAATCACGAAGTGGAATTTTGTTTTTATAATAGCCAAAGAATATTTTTGGCTGGCATGGTAGCTTTAATCCTGTAACCCCAGCACATGAGAGGTGGAAAGAGAGACAGGAGGATGAAAAATTCAAGGCCAACAGGAACAATATAGCAAGAGCTTGTGTCTAAAAATAAACAAGGGCCTGGGAGTAGAGTTCAGTGCTAGAGCACTTGCCTAGATGCAAGGCCCTGGGTTCTACCCTCAGGACAAAACAATGGGCAAAACAGGTAGAAATTTTTTATGTAAACAGACTCTTCATCACGTATATTTTCCTTTGGGCAGTCCTAACATACAAGGAAAGAGGTAGCCATTGATTTGGGTTACACAACAAAGCTTGGGACCTACTGGGAGAGTCTGAGCTACAGGAAGGAGCTGGCCTATCTGCTCCTCTCTGAGACAGAAGATATGTCCCTTTAGTGACATGGACAGCCTTGGAAACTGTTTTTTATTTCCTGTTGAATTCTCAAATCTGGCAATTGCCAGGATATTTTCTTGCTCAGGTCTTAGAAAATCAGAGTTGAAAGCCCCTCCTAACCCTTCAGCAGAAGCAAGCATTCCAAACTTAGAACCATTTCTAAGCTATTCCTGTGGTTGCTAAACCAAAACATTGGACGATGAGGGCACTAATTATATGGAAATCTATTAACTGGTAGTTAATTTTTTTTGCCCTCTAGGAAAACCTCAGGCAGCCAGTGGTAAGTGGCTATTGAGACAGAAAACATAAAAGGCCTACCCAAGTCACAGTAATCATGATAATTGCCACAATAATAACGTTTGCTTTTGATGTGGGAGAAAGCCTGGGGAGCTAGTTACCCAGTTGTCTTGGCCTTGCTATAAGAAATCAGATTGTCGAATTTTACTGTCTGCTGCATTAAGTGGATGGGGAAGACATGGTGTTCCATGAGAACACAGAAGCCTGTTTGGAAAACGAGACCCCCCCCCCCCCCAGTCCTACCATTGATCCCTGCCACCCTGGTCTGCTGAGGAAGGAACAAGTTGACAAAGTTCCTTTGCACCGGGAGTCTCCAGGGCTGTACGTAGTCATTAGCTAATTTGGAGACATCGTGATTTCAGCTTTGCCCCATGTCCTCGGCCTCTGACATCCCCACAGCTGTAATTGCCTCCTCTTGTGTCCTGTGTTCCCACTTGAGGCTCTCACTTGCTAGGGACTCCTCCTGTCTGAGTTGAGGGACAAGCAGGGGAAGACCAGGGCAGATAGCTGGCCTTTGAATTTTGGGGATTGAGAATTAGGCTATGAAAAAAATCAAGAGTTGAAAGTGGATATAGGATCTCATGAGTGGTGGTGGGATTTCCCTCTAGCCCCCCACCCCCTTCCCTGTGAGCATTCCCTCTCCTTCCGACGCCACTGCACCTCAGGTTCCCATCACCATATCTCTTCATAATCCCCCTTGTCTCTCCTGTTGCTTTTCCCAGGGTGAAAATTGCCAGAATGATGGCCCTTAAACAGTATTTTCACCGACACATCTATGCTTAAGTTAAAGCTTTCTTGTAGCTTTTAGGCCAAATCCCAACTCCTTATCTGGAATTCAAGGTCTTTTGCTATCTAGGCTCACTCCAATCCCTCCCTCGCTCGCTCGCTCTGCCCTCTCCCCCAGCTGAGTGGCACCTCCTGCTCATAACCATTTCCTTCACCTCCATGTTTCTTAATTTCCTTCCTTATCTGCCTGCCCATAGCTCATTTCCTTCCAGATGGCACTCTTTTTTGTTGTTGTTTTTTGTTTTTTTGAGACAGGGTTTCTCCGTAAAGCTTTGGAGCCGTTCCTGGAACTCGCTCTGTAGACCAGGCTGGCCTCGAACTCACAGAGATCTGCCTGCCTCTGCCTCCTGAGTGCTAGGATTAAAGGCATGCGCCACTGCTGCCGCCCAGCTCAGATGGCACCTTTTGGTTGGGGATTGTTTTGTTTAAAATTGGACCAGGTCCTAGGTACCTCAGAATGGTATTGGACTCACTATGTAACTGAAGCTGATCTTGAGCTGCTGATTTGCCTGCCTCCATCTACCAAATGCTGGAATTACAGGCAAGAGTCACTATGCCTGGTTAGATGTCTCCTTTGACTAAAAGGATTTGCTTCCTTTGGAAGTCATCCAGCCCATTTATTGCACCCGAGATGGCAGGGGTAGGGTGCTATTGGGACTGGGACCCTCTTTCCCCAAAACACCTTGATCAGCGCTGAGGATATAGCTCTGTGGAGAGCACTTGCCTAGCATGCATGAGGCCCTGGGCTCCATCCCAGTATCACAGAATTTAATATGCCAGAAAAGATTATGAAGAGTTTAAGTAGCTTGTGAGGGAAGCGCGGCTGGTAGAGAACCAGATCTGCCAGCACTTAATTATACTTGACAGATATACTTTCATTTTTTTTTCCTCCAACAAATATTTATTGAGTACCTACTGGGTGCCAGCTGTCATTCTAACCCTGAGGACACAGTGATTAACAGAGCCGATAAAATCCTCAGGAAGGTTAACTCCTCCCCCCAAAGCAAACGAGATCTGTCTAGTGTCTCTTCAAACATAAATTATGGCACAGCTCCATGCTAGAGCATTTGCTTAGCATGTGTGAGGCTCTGGGTTCATTCCTTAGCACCAATTTAAAAAAAAAAAAAAGTTAGAACATTAAATACTACGTTTGCCAGTTTAGTATGAAGTGATCACTGAATTGGTGAATCCAATTCAGACTTTATTCACACTTAACTAAAAGTGATACTTACTGCCCTGTTTAAGGCTCTGTAGTCAAGGCAGGGTCATCGCACATATTTTGATGTGTAGCTCCAAGGTGCTGATGTGGTCTGGGGCAAATCTCTGGGTTTGTGGAAATGATTACTGATCAGTTCCTCTTATCTGTCTATGCAGAAGACTCTCAGGTTACCAGCACAATATCCCCCCTACAGTCTCCGCACAAGGGACTTCCTCCTCGGCCACCATCTTCCTCGCACAACAGGCCTCCTCCCCCACAGTCCCTGGAGGGGCTCAGGCAGATGCACTATCACCGCACCGACTATGACAAGTCACCCTTAAAGCCCAAAATGTGGAGCGAGTCCTCTCTAGACGAGCCTTATGAGAAGGTGAAGAAACGCTCCTCCCACAGTCATTCCAGGTGAGTTGGGTTGGGACACCCAAATGAGGTCTCTGGCTGCGCTTAAGCAGAATCGAAAGGTGGCCCCACCCACCACGGTATTCCCAGAGGATGAGTAGTTCAGCTTTGCTCACAAAGCCCTCTGCCGTCAGCCTCACAGAAGTACAGATTTGTCATCCAAAGGGAAAATACCAATGGCTTGGCTCACAATCACCCTGTTGGCAGATGGCTTTAATGCCGTTAAATTCCACAGGAATTAATTAGGAAATTGTAGCCAGCAGTATTCCAGAATGGCAAAGGAGAGTCCAATCAGAGGCTCCCCAAGGTGGTGCAGAACCTAAACCATCTTCCAGCCGATTTCTGGAACCAAGCTGCTGCAATGCAAGATGCACATTAGCAGCTCATTACTAGGTTAATATCAACATCGTAGAGATGACGACTTGGAAGACATTTCAGGTTTGCTTCTGTTGTCTCCATTTTCCATAATCACACAGCCCCAAGAGGGTGCCCGAACAGGAATTTTGTTTCTTGGAAAACAATACGCTGTGCTGACTGCAGAGGTGGAGGGGACAGAGCCCCCTCCAGTGGGACAGTGAGTTGGAGTCCTGGGTAAGCTTTCCCTACAGTTAGATTCACTGCCCCAAGCTAGTCAGCCCCTACCACTGGGGAAAGGTGCCACATTATGTGACCAGCATGGCTTTCCTCTGCTTGCAGCAGCCACAAGCGTTTCCCCAGTACAGGAAGCTGTACTGAGGCAGGAGTAAGCAGCTCCTTGCAGAACAGCCCCATCCGAGGCCTCCCACACTGGAATTCCCAGTCTAGCATGCCATCCACCCCAGACCTGCGTGTCCGGAGTCCCCACTACGTTCATTCCACAAGGTGAGTCTGCTGGGCCTTCAGACTACCTGCCTTTCTGGTCCACACCTTGGTACAATGAGACCGTGTAGCCCCAAGAACAGGTGAGCTAGAGTCAGACTCCTGCCTACTTCACCCTGAACACTCATCCAGCCAACTGTCCAGACCCAGGGACTTGTGGAGCCAGAGAATTCCAGTCTCCTGGAGAGAGGGCAGGAAAACTAGCCCAGTTAATGTGGGAAGAGCAGCAGCCTTGTATATCCCAGGCTAATGTCTGCTCCCCGTTCCTCATAGACCTTTCTCATGAGGCCTGCATCTGTTCTGGACTCATCTTAATGTCTCAAAGCATACATTTAAAATGATCAGAAAATGGCTTCACTGACTCACAATCCTTTTCTAATGTTGTAAAGCCAGATCATGGCAGGTCACTGGTAAGGGTTATATACTTCTGCCTGTATGTAGTCAGGAGTCGCTAGGAATATGCATATGTAGTTCTAGCATTTGGTACCATTATCTATCTCTTGTTGATTGATATTGGTGGATAAGCAGAGTGGCTCAGAGGCAAAGTCTTGATACTACTGGTAGGTATTTGTATCGTTCATGTTTAGGGGTTCCATGTTTCACCAACCCTCCATTTTAGAGTCCTTATAGGAAACAGCCATTGGCATTCATTTCAGAGTAGTATTTGGTTCAATCAGAGAGAGAGCCTCTGTTAGACATTTTGTTACTGATTTTGGTCAACACTTTTTAGAGGAAACCCTGTGTGAATCCTAGGTGTACTTCCACTTCCCTGACTCCGCCTCCAGGGACTCTTAGCTCCCTTCCTCACCTGGGGCCTAGGGAAGTACCTGGGTTTCTAGGGCAACCCATTGGCTAGAGGCCCTGAGCCTCATAGGCTTTTACACTCCAGTCCTATGGCTTTCATGGGACCCTTTGACCCAGAACCCCAAGACTAACCCTGCGGTCTCCCCACAGGTCGGTAGACATCAGTCCCACGAGACTGCACAGCCTCGCACTGCACTTTAGGCATCGGAGCTCCAGCTTGGAATCCCAGGGCAAGCTCCTGGGCTCAGAGAATGACACCGGGAGCCCCGACTTCTACACTCCGAGGACTCGTAGCAGCAATGGCTCGGATCCCATGGATGACTGCTCCTCGTGCACCAGCCATTCAAGCTCAGAGCACTACTACCCGGCACAGATGAACGCCAACTACTCAACGCTGGCTGAGGACTCTCCATCCAAGGCGCGCCAGCGGCAGCGGCAGCGGCAGCGGGCAGCAGGCGCCCTGGGCTCGGCGAGCTCTGGCAGCATGCCCAACCTAGCAGCACGCAGTGGGGCTGCAGGCGCGGGCGGCAGCGGCGGCGGCGTGTACCTGCACAGCCAGAGCCAGCCGAGCTCGCAGTACCGCATCAAGGAGTACCCACTGTATATTGAGGGCAGTGCCACACCCGTGGTGGTGCGCAGCCTGGAGAGTGACCAGGAGGGCCACTACAGCGTCAAGGCGCAGTTCAAGACCTCCAACTCCTACACAGCTGGCGGTCTGTTCAAAGAGAGCTGGCGCGGGGGTGGCGACGAGGGCGACGCAGGCCGCCTTACACCATCGCGCTCCCAGATCCTGCGGACTCCTTCGTTGGGGCGTGACGGCGCCCACGACAAAGGCTCTGGCCGTGCTGCGGTATCCGACGAGCTGCGCCAGTGGTACCAGCGTTCCACGGCCTCGCACAAGGAGCACAGCCGCCTGTCGCACACCAGCTCCACCTCCTCAGACAGCGGCTCCCAGTACAGCACCTCTTCCCAGAGCACCTTCGTGGCGCACAGCAGGGTCACCAGGATGCCCCAGATGTGCAAGGCCACCTCAGGTGAGCAGAGTGCCGGCGACCTGGGTAGCCTGTAGGTTGCCTAGACTTTGCAGCCAAGAAAAGGAGTCATTTATTCTGGAGGCCTTGCTATGGAATGTGGGAAGCCCATGGCTCTCATCCCACCACTCGAGTTGCTTCCTTCCTTAACCGGGGCACAGAGCAAGCTTTCCGTTAGCCTTTCTAGTTAAGGGCAGAAAGCCCTGTGATGTCAGGTCTCGGGGTTTATCCTGCTAAGGGTGCGCCTTTTTCCTGGTGAAGAAAAATTCTAGTACGTTAGAGACCCGAGTTATAACCTTGCCAAGAAAGGCCGGGTTGAAAGTAGGTCCTGGATCTTGAGGCCCTAGGGGAAGAAGTGTTTACTCTCTGAACCTGACAGCTGTCCTACATAGGTAGCTTGGCTGCTCCTGGCTTTTCTATTCCAATGATGTCATGATACCATCACAAAGTAATTTCTTTTTCACAGAAATCACCAAGGTGCTTTCAGTATCCTTGATACTGTGTCACACTGAAGTTTGAACCCAAAGCACTGTGCAGTGCCAAATTAAGCAAAAGATGGGAGAACAGTCGTTTCCCTTAAGAAATGTCTCTATGAAATAACAATGCTAATAACCAACATTAGCTTAGCATTTACCTTTGCTACATCAGTGATGCTCACTTGTATATTCATACCACTTAGAGAGTGGTAAAAACAAACCACCACCAACAACCCCACTACAACCCTTCCCTCTAGTAGGCAGAAAAAGAGGGAGGATTCTGAGACAAAGAGTAAGCAGTACAATAAAACCAAGAACTGGGGATGCATGTCATCTGAAAGGCAGTTTGGAGCCTGGAAGGAAGTGGTAGTACATTCTGCCTCCATATCCCCACTGCCCTTTTCATTAGCGCATACACGCCAAACAAGTGCCAGAGACTAGACCAGGAGTGACCTAGGCAGTCCTGGGTGCACCATGGCCTATAAGGTCTGACACCTTCCTCCTGTTCTCTTTATTTAGAAACCAAGCCACTGGCTTCCCAGCAAGATTCTGAGAATGGATACATTATGCATAGCATCAGAAGGTCATGATCACTTCTGGTCCTCTTAGATCCATTGGCTAAGTACCAATGGCAAAAGGATAGGATTGCTTCATCCTCTCAAAATTGCCGTTCGTGGGGATATGCTTTACTAAATGATAGCAGGCAGATATTACTAATATTTTAGTAAATTGTATCTGAGGTTGACAGAAGAAAAGGATTCCACCCCACCCGTCAATATGCAAAGGATGCATTTAAGTAGGATTTATTTGGTGCTAAGTTCTCCTAACTAGATTTCTATGTGTTTACTTATGGTAGAACACCTACATTTGGATGAGCTGTTAAAACTCTGTTCATTTAAGGGTTATTGAAGTAGCAGCTGGAAAATCTGAGACAGCAGAGGACTTTTTGGAGGCCCTTCCTACAATAAAGCATGATCCTCACATAGGGGTCACGTCTAAAATGTCATGAAGCAGCCCTCCGTGCTCAGGTCTCCACCACAGGAACATGGGGGCTTCCCATTCCCAGTTGGAGAAGCCATCCTGTGGCCTCAGTCAGAACGGAGGAACATAGTTAGGAGAAAATACATTTAGGGTACCAAGGTATTTCCCCACTATGTCATGGGGTCAGAGACGCTGCCTACAAGGCCATGTCTAGCAATTGTAGAAGGTCTGCCACGGGGTTTGCCATTGAGTTATGAGCTCCTTCATCTGACCTGTCTTCCCCTGCTTTTCCCACACCAACTACATACAGCTGCCTTACCTCAGAGCCAGAGAAGCTCAACACCGTCAAGTGAAATTGGGGCCACCCCACCAAGCAGTCCCCACCACATCCTGACCTGGCAGACTGGGTGAGTTGTCCTTCGAAGCGTTGGCTTGGTTCTTCTGGGCTCTCAATTGTACTAGCTAGGAAGACCAGCAGCAGCACTGAGCTGAGGGATGGAATGAGTGCCAAGGCGGCTCAGGCTTCCTTTCAAAAGCATCTCCCCATATTGCTGTCCCCTTCTCCCCAGCTGGCCTACTGTCTTCGACGGGGATGAATTCTACGTGGTTCTATTTAAAAGCAGGTAGTGATTTCCTGGGATGTAGGCAGGCAAACAAAGCAGTGGATTCAATTCCAGGCAGCGTTGGATTTTTTCCAAGGCCAACTTGAAATGCCACGCAAAACTGTCAAGGGTGGGAGGGAGTACCCTGAGCCAAATGCTTCTCAGTGTGGTCACTGTCTTACTATCGGGATGCATCCTGAGAAAAAAGGGCTCCTGTCTAGGTTAAGCAGTTCTCCATCAGCAAAGGGGATCCTGTACCTTGAGACCTTTAAGTAGAGGCTGCACACAGCAAAATAACGGACACTGGAAGTCAGCTTTTGTTTGTAGCTTTAAGTGTGGATTTCGGGCAGAAGCAGTGGCTGGTTAGGATGCTCTGACCTGTCAAAGGGTCAAGCAGACACAAGTATCCTGCTTTGTTCTTATCACATGCTGTCACTTTCTACCCGAGCCTCTCTTCTGTTGATGCCTCTCAGATGTTACATTCTGTCAACACCTGTTGGTTCCTGGAAATGGGCCCCATATCCAGCTCAATCCGCAGCTTTTGCTGTTGGGCATTGGTGGGCATGTCTGGGGAAATCTGACAGCTGTGAGCTGAATTATGAGAAAACCACAGTCCCACAGCTGGTTCCACTGACTGCTCAGGCTCCCACGCTTGGCATCTTTACTCCTCCACATTTATCTACAGAGAGCTGACACCAGGCCTTTTCTGGAACCTTCATTTTTAGTGGAGAAGAGGAGAGCTAACCCTGAGTACTTACACGAACACAAAGGCTGACAGCTTTTCCAAACATAAATGAGTTTCATGGAATTCTGTCTGCTCCCTGGCAAGGGAAGGATCTAGATCTTTTGGGTTTACAAGTGAGACAGAGACAATGAATCATATACCTTATGTTTTTCTGGTAGGTTCTAAAATGTGGACCTTAGGCCAGAAGTTTGGGCTTCACCTGGGATCTTCTTGGGCCTACCCAAAACTGAATCAGAAGCTCTGGGGTGGGCCTATTGGGTGTATTTAAATGAGCCCTTGGGTCATTAGGATCCATGACTAGACACTCACTGAAGCACTCCATGCTGCCTCTTTACTCTTTTCAAATTAAGAAAACACACAGCCTACAACTACAGCATTTCTCATGTCCACTCCCCAGTGTGGCGTTTGCCAGTAGCTACCTCTCTGTTTATGTTACAAGTCACTGACAACACTAGTTCATACCATCCTCTCTACAACTGTAGCCCCTGAAGTCAGACAGCTTCCTGGCTTAGGGTCTAAGAGTCTCCCAAGATTAATTCATACAAGAGTGACACATCTGTATACCTCTAATGGCTAAACCAAAGCATCCAAATAGGACTCTTGGAATCCTCTGTGGACCCTCGCAAGTTCCTGGGCCATACCCAGTTTTATCTGCTCCAACTGTATGACTGTATCACTTGGTTAATAAACAGGCTCTGAAATTTACAAGCATCCATCCCACCCCCGCTCACTCAAGTCAGCCCTTGTACATGCCTCCTTTATCACATGTAGCCAGTGAGAGCTCGAAACAAACTGGAAACAAAAAGATACTGTCCTTGAAGTCCAGTGTTTTGCCAGATTGTGAATTGTTCGAGAATAATGTGATAAGAAAACAAGACAATGGGTAAAAATTGCCACCACCTGCCTTCCTAACATAACTAATGAGGTCTTGTCCCTCAGTGATGGAGACTGAAAGTTCTGCATGCCTCTTACTGTGTCGGATAACCAGTGGGTCTTTCCGGGGTGTTAATAAGCTACTAATCCTGTGTGCCGGTTCTTCTATGTAACATGAACTCTCTTCTCTTCCTCCTTCCGCTCTCCTTTGTTCAGAGAAGCAACAGAAAACTCTCCCATCATGGATGGGTCTGAGTCTCCAACTCACCAAAGTACTGATGAATAGAGGTATTGTAAGGGAACGTTTTGTTCTTACTGCCCACGAGTGTGTGATCCAGATGTGCTGCTTCTGCCCATGTCATAGTTTCCAGTAGGAAATGTCTGAATGGTGTGGAAGCTATTATTTTTATGTTTTATTTCTAGATACATGTGGAGCTATGTGTTTGGATGTGTGTTTTTACATCAGATGTAGAATAGTCCACATTCTCCTTCCCAGAAGAAATCACCATAGTATATTTAGACTTTCTAGGCTTTAAATACAAACAAAAAATAAGTTGTAGAGGTTTGTTGTTTACCAGGTTTGTAAGTAGTATCTATGAAAACAGCATCACTGTTGTTTAAAACAAAATTAAGCCCTGAGTAAGTATTTAGTGCTTACATAGAAGTATTGAGTGCTCTACAAATTTAAGTCAAAATGCTAAAAAGGCCCAGAGGCGAGAAATGCCTTTTAGTTCTCACACACACTTCGTGAGCCTGGCTTTGAAGAACTACAGTTAAGGCAGAGAAACCATTCCAAGAGCAAAAAGCACAGGTGTGGATCCCAGCGGGGCTTGGGAGAAGAGCGAAGAATCCCATATAGCAGTAAAGAGAGAGGAGCGCTTTAGCCTGGAATGCAGGACAGGATGAGACCATGAACAATTTTTACAGTTGGCCAAATGGGGATTAGGAAAGCAGGGGAGGAAGGTGGACAGCTCATCCTCTGGTGGCAGTGAGGGGACTGAGAGACAATGATGGCACAACATTTTTGAATTTGAGTTATTTTTCTCTTCCTATATGAAAGGATTAAAATATGCTGAGTGATGGTAGAGACTTAAAAAGCTCATGTGGGAATATGGTTTAATCAGTTCAAAATAAACTAAAGATAATACTGCTGGGTAGCAGCTCACACCTTGGCCAGCGGAGTCATGATGACACAGAAGTCTTATTACCCTGGCTTTATGACCACTGGCCCACAGCACTGTTCACTAACCCAAATATGTCCAGCCCATTGGTTTGGTGTGTTAAAACCCCTATCTCAATTCACAGTGTACAGGGAGATATGGCATCATTCAATATTTAGTTATTACTCGCTTTTTTAAAAGTGATTTAACCCCAGACTATTTAGGATCCAACATACAAGAAATTCAGATATATTCTATGACATTGGGCTGTGTGAGATGGTGTTTTCCAACATGTGTTCTAGAGGTATGAACAGGTGATACTGTATGAGACACTCCAAGTGAAACAAAGTAACGCATGACTTCTCAGAGCCTCTGGTATGTGCTCAATGTACAGTATGATTGAGCCCACATCACTGTATCAGAAACAAACTTCTAGAAGTTTCTAGGAAGCTGTACCAGTATTTGCTGCACAGGAAAGAGACGCCAACTCGATAAGCTTAAGCAAATGAACATGTATAAGCTGCTAAGCTGGGAAGCCGAGGCAAAGCTGGGGCCGAGCTCCCTAGCTGTTTCCATCCCCACATCGAGGAAATAGATAGCCTCATGCTTTCAAAGTCAAGGGCCATCTCTGAACCAGTGAGTGTGGCTGGAGAACTTAATAGGTCACGTGTTCCCTCTGGTAGGCGTAAGAGCACTATGAAGGGACCGTTCCCTGGAGCCATGCACGTCTCCTGCAGAATCCAACCACCTTTCCCATTAAAAGTTCTTGGTTCTTTTGACACAATTTACAAAAGCCAGTTTCGCAGTGGCGAGACATTGTTTGCAGAATGAGTATAACTGCATCATCCACTCATTTACCCCCAAAACACACCCAGGACCAGTGTCCTAACTAAGGCCTTGCCTTTGCTTCTAAAGCCACATTTAATCAGAATTAAGCTCATGGACTTCCAGTGCTCCAAGCACAAGGCTGCCATGGAAACCGACCAGAATACTCGGAGATGGCTTGGGATTTTTCCAGCTTTCATGGACTTTGCTAGGTCCGACGAGGGATATTTACAAAGTATTAAATACTCAATGTATTCCTGGAGAAGTAAGCAAATCAGGCAGTAGTGAGAGTGGCTGATGGTCTTCAGGGTTAGCTAACTTGGGAGGCTTTTGAGATACTCTTTAGAAGAGGTCAGCATCTCTTCCTGGTACCCATCCCCTGAGTATGCCCCTGGCCCCAGGCATGGGAACTGAAGGGTAGCTTAGGGACAGTTAGGACTTCCTTTATGTAGGGCTGCAGCCACTCACCTATGTGAGCACTTGCTGATATCTAGGAATCACCCAGGTAGTAGGGAATTAGTAGGTTAGAGGAGCACCCATCTAACCTACTAATACTTATCCAAAGAACTTTCTATTTTCTTCCATGTATACTTTTCTCTGTAGAGAAATAGCTTTTTATTTTATACTATTTTTTGGTGCTGAGCATTAAGCACAGGACCATTATATGCTAAGCATGCTTTCTACCACTGAGCTACAGGCCCAGTCCCTGTATGTTTTTTAAAATACTTTTATAAAATAACATTATTGATTTAAAAAGCATAGCCAGGTGGTAGTGGCACACACCTTGAATCCTAGCACTCAGGAGGCAGAGGCAGGCTGATCCCTGTGAGTTCAGGGACAGCCTGGTCTTTCACGACAGCTAGGGCTACACAGAGAAACCCTGTCTCAAACAAAACAAGGCTCACGTGTTGACTGTTCTTCCAGGACAGTGATAACTTACCACAGAAGTGCAGTTAACCCTTGGGTCTGATGTAAGGCAAACCACTGGCTGTTGTGGAGGAAGTCATCCTGAGGAATATAGCCCCAGGGGCTCCTCAGCTGGCTTCATCTGAGATCATGGATGGGACTTTCGAAGTTCCCAGTAGTGCACTCCCCATGCCAACCTCAGCATAGGCAGACTCAGGCCTGGACATGAGCATTTCTGAGGGTACCACGTGATCATTGTTAACTTGTACTTCCTGAGGTTTCAGAGGTCCCTTTGTGTAATCTTGGTCTCCGAACGCCTTCCGTACACCAAGTGCCATGGAGACTGCCACATCTCACCATGTGTGGAGGGCACGTCTCTCCACATGTACCCTGAACACGGACCCACCTGTACTCCTCTCTTCTAACCCATCATCTCCCTTTGTGTCCACAGGAGCTACAGTGATAGCTGCTTCCTGGATTCCTCCCTCTATCCAGAGCTAGCTGATGTCCAATGGTACGGGCAAGAAAAAGCCAAGCCCGGGACCCTCGTGTGAGCCAGCCCGGCCTCTTCTGACCGCCGCACGCCATTCTGAGTCACCTCACTGCCTCTCAGTTGCCTTACCCAGACACACTGTCACCTGCACCAGCTTCGGCCCTTGGCACTTTTTTTTCTCCTGTCTCCATATCCCCTTCACCCTCAAAAACCTGACTGAGGAGACATTCTGGAAGGTTCCGATCCCACTGTGTGTCCCCTGGCTCTCTTACCCAGAGAGCCAGGCAACAATCCTCAATGGCACCTTGGTGGTTTCCCTCTGCCATGACAGCTCCAGGCCAGGAACTGTCAGGGAAGCCAACACATGCAATTCCTGTGGAAGAGAAGCATTAGTAGAGAATGGAAAACAGACCTACCAGTGTGCAGAGACCGTGATGCTGCGTCCAGCTGCCACCTTAGGCCAACTGAGCGCTTCAAGAGGAGGATGCCTCCTGGGGATATTCAGTTTACACCTGAAATGTTCTGTATTCTGTAACGAGACAGCCTGCAAGAGTACCTATGGGGAAGAGTGAGAAAGAAGACCAGCGCTTCGGAGATGCATCGGAGGGTCACAATTGGTTCTATGCTGCCAAAGATTCGACACATTCAACAATAAACAGATACGAGGGGCCAAGAGGAATACACTGTTTCTGCAGTGAAATTTCTTTTCAGTTCTAAACTGCTTCTATGCAGCACAAGTGAGAAGTCCACCATCTGTAAATCATGTCCTGTAGTGACCCATCTCCTGTCCAGTCCACTTCTCCCCACCTGAGCGCCTGGAAATGAACCTAATGGCACCGTGAAGAAGGAGGAGGCTTGGCTGGCAGGCACAGAATCTGTCTGTCTGGACACGAAGGAGGAGCAGAGCACTGTTAGGACCGCCTGATACAGGGGCCTCCGCCTACGTCCCCAAAGCTGCTTTCCTTTTGGGATTGGTCAGAAGCTAAAGGTGATCATTGCCAAAAGTAGTCCTCTCTCGTGAAAACAGCCAGTAAAAGTGTAACCTTTCTTCTTTGTACAAGGTGTTTCATTTTCTTTTTTATGGGAAACCAAGGGAAAAAGCACATTGCAGTCTATTCAAGTGTTTTACTGTCGTGGCTCATTTTGTTTGTTAACACTTGTGTGACAAAGAACTCAGATGGACCTCTCCTGTATGTCACTTAGTCAAAGAACCCAAGTATGCCCTTAGGTAGGAAGATTGTTTTTTTAAATGTGTCTACCAGCCGGCAGGCAGAGCAGAGTTGAGACAACTCGGCTCCCAAAGGGCCCATTCACCTCCAGCAGTATCCATGACCTTGATTTACCACCTCTGTCCACAGATACCAAGAGGGAAAAAAGGCAAAAAAAAAAAAAGAAAAAGAAAAAAAAAGAAAAAAAAAAGCATGCGTGCAAGCTGCCCGTTTACATGTGTTTTGAGCTATGCTTAACACACAACCAAAAAGCCATCAATCTTCAAAGGCCTCAAAATTTTATAATAACTAACCAGTGAACAGTCTTAGCTGGGTTACTCAAGAAGGCACAAAAGACAGTTTCCATGGAGGTAGTACATGTTAATATACGTGGGGCTTGTGGGGGTTACCGTTGTAAGGACTTCCTGTGGGAAAGGCATCCAGGAACAGGAGCCAGGGTAGGAGTACTTCTGTGGGAAAGCAGATCTAAAAGTTAGCTGTGGCATCAAAAGAAAAACCTTTGTTGTTCATGTAGGTCAATCCAAGAACAGTAGACTCCACCAGATGAGGAGGGTAAGAAATGGACACCAGAAAGTACTATCCCTGTTGCTTACTCTGCAGTGGTTTGGAAAGCTCTGGAAGCCACCAAGCAGTAGGTAGCATTTACACCAGGCAGAAGCACCCATACCATGAGGTCTTAGGCCTCCTCTGCCATTTTTCTATGGCCCATTCAAGGCGGGGTACCCCAGAGCTGGGCATGGCTGGCTTGATGATTCAACTTTCACAAACAGTACTCTTCCCGGACACTTCAAGGGTAACTCTGTAGATTGGTGGAAACTGGGTAATGGTACAAAACTAATCTGAGGCTTGACAGAGATGGGGGCTATCGGTTGGTTTGTTGGGGTTTTTTTTTCTCCGAGTATGTTGATCAGATCTGTAAAAGGTTTATTCGGGGATTTCCCCCCTCTACCTTCCCTAAAAGGAAATGTGACACATTGGGTCAGTTGTTTTTTTCTTCCAAAAGGAGATGCCTGAATAATTAGACTGAACTATGGTGCAACAGGAAAAGTCCAAAGGGAAACAACGAACAAGACAAGGTTACATAGTTGCAGGTTATAACAGACCTATAACATAGTTTGAAAATCAGTTCTGAATTCCGTTGGATCAATGAGAGAGGCAAAAAGAATCTAAAATGTAATACATTTGGGAGCAGAGAGGAATTGTATGGGAGCTGTGAATACCATCAGGATAGTCTGGTAGTAAGGACAGAGATTAAGTAAAACAGGTTTTACTGTTTAGCTGTGTTCAGTTAATACAATGTACATAATAAGCATTAGTCCTTTGAGACTGACATGATCAATGGTCAGTGTGGTGGTGAACTCTAGGTGTTGTATTCAAGCACCTGCAAACACTTTACAGATCCCTATTTCTTTAAAGGAAGATGAGCTATGAAGCCCCCAGTCTGATCTAAAGCCCCTATTGGATTCTTTGGGTACATGTAAGAAATTGCCTGTTTCAACCAGAAGACTATGTTGTGAGCCAGGTTGGTTTATTTTGTTATATGCAGGTGAGTGTTGAAACTGTTAAAATCCCAAGTTGTTTTCATTCAGTATTAGTTTAGTTCTAAATATAGCAAACCTCATCCAGGTGCTATCAGATGACCAATTACTGCTTAGTTAACTAGGTGTAAAGTTTTACATATCCATTCATGTCAATAGTTTATTACAAGTTGTGTAAAATGGACTCTAGTTTAATAATGGGGGGAAAAGATTAGGTTGCTCCTGAAACTGACTGTAGAGCATGTAAAATGATTTTACTGGATTCTGTTCAACTGTAATCAATGAAAAAGATGTATGTTGTAGACAAAGTTGCAGAATTAAAAGAGAAATCTGCTTTTAATTTATTCTTTTTGTATTAAGAATTTGTATAGTACCTTTACATTTTGCAGAACAGTGTTGTCAACACTTATTAAAGCATTTTGAAAATGAAAACACCCCAGTCGCCTCTTGGACACTGTTTGTTTCTAAATGATAAATGTGTAACCATGCTCCAGAAATCTGTATGTCAAGTGCACTGGGCTCTTTTTTAACACACACACACATCCCTACCCACAGTATTCCTTTTGGTTTGGGCTTGTTTTTTAGATACAGTCTCATTCTGCAGTCTGTGCCAGCCTGGAACTTACCATATAGCCCAGGGTGGCTTTGAACTCACAATCTTTTTGCCTCCAGCCTGAGTGCTGGTATATGCCACCACAACCAGCTATGCATGGTACTGTTGGCTTGCCAGATGAGGCAGAGAAGCTTGTTGACTCGGTAGAGGCTAGTTTTCTGTTACATTATTTACCCTCTAAATCATACCACTGAAGCAACAGCCTATTGCATTTACAGAAGTACCCTAATTAAGATATATGGTTCCCGGTTTACTTCAGCCGACTGCTGCAATTGTATCTCTGACCCCTAACCTGACAGACATCTCTTTCCTAGCAGGAAACTAGAAGTCTAGCCTCCAGGAACACCATGGATGGAAAGCCCTTCCTGATCACTAGAGTAAGACTAAAGCTTGCCAAGAAGAGTAACAATGCACCGAGAAGCTGGACCTGTCTAAAAATGAGCTAAAGGGACAGCTGACAACTTCCTGAACTCTGGCAACTGCCTGGGAAACTTCTTAGGGGAGTATCAGAGCATCCCAAAATAATCTACACTTGAAAAAGAAAAAGCCTCTTGTAAACATGAATAAAGATGCCAGAAATGAGGTTACGCTCTAAGCTCCATCACACGAAAACAACTGGAGCCCAGGAAGATGGCACTGTCTTATGCTTCCTGTCCCTTTTATACACACACACACACACACACACACACACGCACGCACGCAGGTGTGTGCACACACAAACACGTACACAGTCCTCCTTCCCTCTCCTTATAACAAGATAATGCTAGTTTCTATTTTGATTCCCAGAGAACACAAAGTAAACACCCTAATCCTGCAGAAAATACTAAAAATATCCAGCCCTCGACTTCCCAGAATATCTGTTAAAAACACTTACACAAAACTATCCCAAGAGGAGTGTGCAGACCCACTTGAGGACTGGTGAGTAGACAGCGGCCTCCATCAAGGCACTGCACATTGGTACAGAACCCATGTCCTCTAAAGCTTAGAGGTTCACGGATGAGGCAAAGCAGCACAGGATCGATATCTAACAGGCAAGGGACTCTACCGCACTAAACTGGAAGGAGATTTGGCCAATTCCCAAGGATACCAGAATAATCAATATGTAAACAGAAGCTCTCTCACTCAGACCTTGTTTAAGGAGTTGGCCTCTTTGAGGGCAGGAGAAGGTAGAAGAGGCACTAAGCTCTAAGCACTAAGCCAAGCTCCCAGCTTAGTCACTTCTATTCAGCCAAGATCAGAAAGGTTGGCATTACAATTCTGTCGATAAGTAATTGATAAGGTCTAGAGTTGTGTACACACACGGGGAGGGGGGTGTTTAGGAATTTTTTTTTAGTAGATTCTATCCTTTTGTTTCTCTTCTGCATGCCAATTTCCCCTAATACTCAGTCCAATCATGCACTCATCCCCTCCATTGTACCCAACCCAGTCATCAAGATGGACTCCTCATGATGCCAAATGCAATATTTAACTCTCTTTTGTCATTTTATGGGACTTACCAGCAGACACTGTATGCAGACGATGCTCCTTGCTTGACTGAAAGGCCTTCTTCACGAGGACCATATTCTCCTCTATCACAGTCCAAAGCTCTCCTTATCTTCATCTCCCTGACCTTGAAGTGGCCCACAGCTTTGTCCTTGGACTGCCTTACTCTTGACAATTACTTTGTTTGGCTTCCTGTATTTTCTCACCACTATTACAAAATACCTGAGATAAACAACCTGAGGGAAGAAGGCTTTATTTGACTCAGTTTTAGAGACTTCAGTTCATCATAGCAGGGAAGGTGTGGTGGCAGGTCCTCGAAAGGATAGGCATCTTGCTTCTTGGCTGACTGGAACAAGAGGCAGACATAAACCCCAAAGACCACCGCTAGTGAACTTCTTACACCACCAAGGCCCTACATCCCAAAAGCTCCATGACCTCCCAACAGAGTACAACCATCAAGGGACCAGGCGTTCAAACACATAAGCCTGCTGGGAACACTTCAGATTCAAACCATTAACACTCACATCTGACCTCAGTTTGCTATGCCACCTTTATGCCGATGGCATCAGTATTTTCCATCCATCCTGGACCTTTTCCCTCAATCTGTACTTCCCAGTGCCTCCTCAGCAGCTAGATGTTTAACATGATCAATGTACAGAACTGAACTCTTGACCTTCCCCTCCAAACATGCTCCAGTGGCCTTCCTCCTCGATTTAAAGGCAGCTCCATCCTCCTAGGGCTCAGGCCAAAGATCTTGCAGTCATCCCGGACTGCTCTTTTTCTTCCCACATCTGCAGTAGACAAACAGATATGGATGCTCCTCCTGGGAGATTTCTATTTCATTGTGGGAAAGGGGAAGAAAAAAACTAATCATTTACCAGAGTGACAGGAAGGCAGGGACACAAGATTCAGCCTATACAGAAAAGGCAATACCATTTCCTCCAAGTCTGGTGAGAAGAAACGCCGGGAAGCTTGCAGATACCATTCTTAAGACTGCTTCCAAATTCAACTGGTGTGAGAAAAAGGTGAGGCCACCGCTCCATAAGACAGGTAAGAGGGCGTCAGGATACAGCAATTTCAAAGCATTCTAGTAAATACACCTGTGATCCCTAGAATCAGAGATTCGGCTCAAAGGGATAGAACGCTCTCTTCTGCCTCCACAGAAGTGCGAAGGTGTGCATGCTCCCACACAGGAGAGCGTAAGCACAAACACACAGAAATAATCAAATAATAAAACACCATGATTTTACAGAAAATACAAACTTTCACACACAATTCTCTCTTCCCTCAAATCCTATGCTCTCAGGAATGCCACCATTAAACTAGAGAAAAAGGTGACATTCAAGCTGACATACTGGGCTGGGGATGAACCAGTGGCTAAGAGCACTTGCTACTTACTCTTACACAGGGCCCAGATTCAGTTCCTAGCACTCATGGCAGCTCACACCACCTGTCACTCCACTTCTATGGGATTCTGACTTCCAGAGGCACTGTCCAAATGTAGTATGCTTACATACATGTTAGCAAAATATGAACATAAAAATAAATCTTTTATAAATGTTTTTAAAAGAATGACATATGACTTGATTTTTATAGGGTCTATCACACAAAGATAGCTGAAAAGATTATATCAATATCCAAGCTGGTCACAAGATTAGGTCTTTCCCATTAACAATTATTTAGCACAACAGTCAGCCTCACCACACCTATGCCTAAGAGAATGTCTTAGACATGACATGAAGTCAGTCTTGGTAAGGGTCTTCATAAAAGGGATTGTATAAAGGGCCTTTAAATGCAGGAAAGAGGTACTCAACTGAGTTACTCACTGGGCAAAGGCAAGTTAAATCCACCGTGTAACACTATGCTAAAATGAAAGTTACAGAAGACATTTCAAATGTGAACAGATGTAGAGAAACTAAACTCTCAAAATCCCAAAAGCAGGAGTATACACTAGTATAAATACCTTACATTGACCTTGGTATAGTCTCTATAGAAATTTATATTCACCAGGAAATGCATACATAAGAGTTCATGCAAAATGGAACAACTCCCATAAATCACAACTATATAAAAGAGTGAATACTAGAAACCTAAACTTTCACTGAACAAGTCAAACATAGGAAATCAAGCAAAGAATATGATCTCCGAATTAGGAAAACACACAAATACAAAACCAAGCAAATCTAACTTACCTGAGACTTAACAAAGTACTCAACGCTTTATAATCTGCTAAATTTCATATCAACCCTAAGAGCCAAGTGTTACTTGTGTATTAAAGAGGAGCAAACTCCTTTTGTTCTAAGTTCACCCAACAAGCTGTTTCCTTCCTTAAATCAGCTGATGCTTCCTTTTATTAGTAGTTTTCACAATGTATTAATAAGCTGAGAGGGCCACAATCAGCATATGTTACTCCAGAAACACCAGGGCTAGAGAGATGGGTCAGTCGGTAAAAGTACTTGATGCACAATCCTGAGGACCTGAGTCTGACTTCCTAAAATCCACACAGAAGCTGGACATACAGTAACGCCAGCAATTACAGCACTCCTACAAGAGGATGGAGAGGGAGAAGAACCCCCAGAGCCTGCTGTACCAGCCACCCTAGAGCACGCACGGGCAAAACTAGAGATCCTACTGTCTCAATAAGGTGGAAGATAAGGACTGACAGAAGTTGTCTTCTGAGATCTTCACGTGTGCACACACACATACCCACCACCAATCACCACACACACCCAAACACCACCACCATCAACAAAACACCAAAAAACAAAATCCAGAATAGGAACACATATTGCCTCAGACATGGCCAGGCAGAGCTTGTTCCAGTCCTCTGTAAGGGTGTCTATGTGATGCTGGGTCTGGAGGCGTCAGAAACACTCCAATCTACAATTTCAACTCCTTCACAGGACAGAAAGTCTCAGCCAAGCCCAAGCTGTAATAGTTGTAGGTCATAACGTTTTCTAAGCCTTCAAAGAAGAGCTCTGAAGTGCAAAGGCAATTTGGTTCTGGCAGGTTGTAAAACTGCAGCTGCAAGCCTGTGGGAACGACTGAGCTGCCATGCAGGAAACTTGGTGAATGAGGCTGAGATCACCAAATAACATCCCCCCCCCCCCAAAAGAAAATGCAAACTCCGGAGCTGCTGCTCTCCTCTGCGTGAAGGTATGCACTAAGCTTGGCCACTGAGGGGGGGACAAAGGCGGCTGACAGTATTTCAGAGCAGGGCTTAGGGACAAGAAAGAAACTACACAAAGAGAAGTGGCCTAGTTAAAATACAGCCGTCATCGGCAGGGCACGGATTAGTTCAAGCACGCTGTGTAAAATACCCCAGTTTAAAGTGTGGAAAATACACAAATAGTCAATATTTTAATAGTAAACTATTTTGGCCAATGTATAAACCTTTTTTTTTGTAATGAGCACAACTCCAAAATCTTGGCTGTGGTTAGCTCACACACAGCTGTCGCTGCTAGCCAGCCACATAGCACTCCCTAGTTATCCCATACCACCAGAACTTGCTTTTAAAATTTCAAAAGACTTTAGGCTATTGAACCACTAAAGTTCCAGTGGTTAAAATTTAGTCAGTGCAACTGCAGAGTCTGTGATGAAAACCGGTTACTATAGCAGTTTCCCAAAGTGACCCTCTGGAGACTTGTGCTGGCCCCGGCTCTCTGGACAGCTGGAAACGCTTCCATCAACACACCGTGAGAAAGTGCTTTCCAGCTCAAGATTCTCAAAATGACGCCATAGCATAAATTTCTAGAGGATAAAGTTATGCTTTCAGGGGCTTCATGGGAGAAGACCGCAGCAGGGAGGAGGTACAATCCATTAAGTTATCCGCTCAAGATGCCAGACAAAAGAAACTTAAAGCTCAACTCAAGATTCTCTTTCATTCAGGCCTCCCTTCTGTGGTGAGAAACCTTTCACTGTGGGCCTCGAAACGAAGTAGACAGGAATGCCCAAATCCAAAGCCCACAAAGACGGAGGAAACATTTCTCATCTTTCCCAAGCTGTGTATTTCCAGAATTCCTTTTCAACAGCAGTAACAAAGGTTTGCATTCCGGAATGATTTACTGGGGGCACACTCCAGAGTGGTTAAAGTACTGAACTAGGTTAAAACGTACCAGAAGGAAGGGCTTCAAACTACAAGTCCTACCACTACCGCCCCTACTTCCCAGTCCTTGCAGGTCCACAACAGATCCTCCAGTTCTGTTAGTGACCACTGCCTGCCTTGTTCTGCTCTCCCAGGACCTTACCCTTCCTCTTACAATATCTAGACAAGGCCCCTGCTTTATCTCCTTAGTCCCCAGCCCGCAAACACTGAAAGCCTCCATAGGCTGTGACAGTGATCAAAAGCCCTGTCAGTGGACAGTGACCCTCCTAGGAAATGAGATGCTCTCCAATTACAAGTTCTCACCTCACACCGTATGAGAGCAGAAAGCACTCAGCAGAAACTGTACTCGGGACCATTAACTTGGGGGTCTCTTCCTCGGCTAGCCACACACAGTGTAATCCTCTCCTGATGCTGGGAAGTGGTCCCTCCACAATGTTCCCTCAAACTTGATCTTCAGAGAAAATGACTGACACTAATCTATAGCAGCATACAACATTCAAAATAGTACATGAACTTCAATGCTTTAGTATAAAAATAGGCTCTGTGATGGATGGCTTTACCTATCCACAGGCTAATGTAAGTGTTCTGAACACATTTAAGACAGTTTAGGTCAAGCTAATTAAGTAGGGGTATTAAATGCATTTTCAATGTACTGTGTGTTCACCTATATGATCAGGACTAATCCTGCATCCAATCAAGGAGCACCTGCATTTATATCTGAAGGAAAGAAGTTGTTTATTAAGTCTGAATACAGAAAATCCCAGTTCTTGTGGATGGAAGGATGCGAAGGCAGGAAGGGATATAGCTAATTAGAACTGTGACTGTTTAAAAGGAAAAGTATATATTTATTGTTTTAAAAAATTGAAACAAAAATATATAGTATATGCAGAAGTAAAATTTCCAAGACTTGAATAAAAGATCATTTTTCTACATATCCCAGGAGTTTCTATATCACTTCTTTAATTTCAGACATGAAAACTGTCCTGAGAGAGCCACATATTTGAACAAGCTTCCCTCCACTCAAACTCAGAATGGCTAAAGTCACAGATAACACTCCTTACACACACACACCACACACACACCCCACACACACATACACACACACAAAAAAAAAAAAAAAAAAAAAAAAAAAAACCCAGCCTCCACTGGCCAATTTTAGGAAGTACTGAAGTCACATGATATAGTTTCTTCTTCATGTGGAATATTAACAACAGAAAGGAAGACAACATAAAATCACTTACCATGCTGTGACCTGACAGTGGCTGAAGAATAAGTGATCTGGGCATTATCCAGTAATATTTCTAAACAAGACCTTTATAACAAAACCACATGTCACAGATAGGGATTTGCTGCACATCTCATGAAAGTTTCTCATTTGTCAAATAAATCCCCCAAAGCTCTACCTAATTTAATCATAGGAAAAGACTTGGCAGTGAGAGGAACGCCTCCCTGCAATAACTGCCAGAGACTGTCCTATCTCTGCACAGCCTTGGATCTCAAGTAGCCAAAAGTGGCCTTCACTCCTTCTCAAGAGGGACCAGAATAAGCAACTGTGACACCAAGCCACCTCTAGCAACCTCAGGCTCCCATTCTCTGCACTTCTAAATTTGGACCTGGATGCAAGTAAAGACAGGAAAAACTTAATGATTCCATCGTTTACTACTATTGCTGATAATACAGTCATTATTGTTGTTATTGCACAAGTACATACTATCCCACTGTAGCCACAGGGCAGGGCCCATAAAGGCCCTAGGTCTACACGTAATAAGAATGCATGCCAAGCAATAATAATGATCTTTTGTCCTCTACCAGGCAGCGGGCTCAGCATTTTACTTACACAATAACAACACGAGGTGTGTACTCTTATCATCAACGTCAGCTAAGGAAGCCAAAGCCCTGCAAGGTGAAACCACTTGTCCACCGCTGTTCTGTTAGTGCACAGAGCTTGTCCACCGCTGTCCTGTTAGTGCACGGAGCTTGTCCACCGCTGTCCTGTTAGTGCACGGAGCCGAGGAACTGCCAGTCCTGAGGGCCCACCCACTCCTGCTTCTCTGACACAACCATTCAGCTTGTCACGGAACAACCCGATCCTCTCAACACTGCAGCAGTGAGTGGTCCCAATGTCAAAGAGCAACACTGTGAGACCAGAGTGAGGACTGAGTGTGGCACAGTGAAGCCAGGACTCCGCCCTCTTCAGCATCCCCATCATGAGGCTGCCACTCAGCTGGCTCCAATGCCCATTTCCTCACCCTAACCTAGATGCACTAATGTAAACTTACGCTTTTCAACCTTCTATCAATTCTATCTGTCCAGAAATACGACAAATACTAAGATGTGCTCCACTTAGAACCAAAGCAAGTCTGAAACACAAGAAAAATAACACTTAACAGTAACATTTACATCCTACTGTAAGGTGGCAAAATTCCAAAAAACTTTTTTTTGTTGTTTTTTTTTGTTTTTCGAGACAGGGTTTCTCTGTGTAGCTTTGCGCCTTTCCTGGAACTCACTTGGTAGCCCAGGCTGGCCTCGAACTCACAGAGATCCACCTGGCTCTGCCTCCCGAGTGCTGGGATTAAAGGCGTGCGCCACCACTGCCCGGCTCCAAAAAACTTTTAAGAACTGTAAAGGAACATTTAATGGTCCCACACTTTTGCTGAAATACAAAAAATATTTTCTATAAATACCACATAAGAGAAAAAATGTGCAAATCATGATAATTTATAGAAAATTTAAACCTGCCCTCAAATGTTTCTAGTTATCTAATGACACATTTTGGGTCTTGGGGAGAAAGGTCACCTCAAACCCCCTTCCTGCTGTTGTCTACACATCTGTCTACACTATGGATAACAGCTTTAGGACTTAATTTTTCAACTGATTAAAATGAGAACAACACACAAAAACTTGTTTGCAATCCAATACCATATGAAAGTCAACCCAGTTCTTAAACCCAACAAGAAGTGCATCCGATGGAACTCTGCGATGGAACTCTTCCTTTGCTGCTGTGCTAAGGCCAGAAGTCCACATGCTGCTTGCTGAGGCTTCTTGTTATGTCCATCCGTACACAGATCTCACAGTGCATTGTACTCCACACATTTTGATGGATCCGTAGGAAAGTGCTTTTGGCAAATCGTCATTAACCTCTTCAGTCCCTAGGAACATAAAATAAAGGTTCGTTATGACACAACCAAACTATTTCTAGACGCTTTTCTCTGTAGTACTTAGTTTGTCAATGTCCCTATAAAGTTAAGTATCGCCACAATCCCATTCAAAAGGATAAATGTTTATCCATGAGCACTGCTTATCACACATCATTAGTAGAAAATACGTATTCTACAGGGCTGTGATGTTAGCCCTTCCGAGTTTGGTGGAGAGAAGCATATTCAAAGATGTGGCTCTCTCAGAAAAGTCTTCCATATCTCCAAAGTTAAAGAAGCGATATAAAAACTCTCGGGATAAATGAAAAATGACCTCGTCCGTTCAAGTCATGGAAAGGTTACCTCTGTATATACTACAATTTTTGGTTTGAAACTTTAAAAAAAAAAAAAAAAACTAGAAGGATTAAAGTAACCTAGAAATAATATAGTTTTCCATCTCTATTGAATACATGAACACTCTCACCAATGGAGTACTTAGAGCACAAACTCTAGTCCCCGAATAATTCAGCCCTCCTCAAACAGGTTCCAAGAAAGAATTAAGGACAACCCCTGAAGGTGGCGGCATTTCTCTTTCAACTTCTCCTTTGGTCTTACCTTTCCAAGTGCTTAGCTGGCCATTAGACTGTAGTTCTTTTTCTTAGCTTTCTCACCAACCACTAGGTTAAAAAATGCCTTCCAAGCCCATATACAAATTCTCTGTATCCCTTCCAAACAGGCCAAGGACAATGGTAGAGGCTTGCTGCAAGCCCCATAGATTTTTCTTGAGAATAAACTAGAGAGGAATTTACAATCAGAAAAGAATCCTATTAATTGTTTAATCAATTTCCAAATTTCCCTGTTTACAAGGAATGTTTGTTACAAACCTTATTGAAATCTTTATAACATTATTGACTAGTTATAATACAGCAGTGCTTAATTTCAATGATCCTAACCCATACCAATTTTTAGCACAAATTGTTTTAAGGTTCATTTTAAGTTCACAAAAATTAAAACCACCCAGTTCCTATCACAGTAAGAAAAATAATGTAATTTAGGCCTAGAATAATAACATTGGCTATAAAAGAACATGTAGCATATTGCCTGGTATTTTGGTTAGTATTCTCCTCAAATTTACTTTCTTCCCTCAAAATGACATGTTGGGGCAACTTTAAACAAAAGATTCATGACCCAGTGGGAAAGAACCACAGGGCTGCAGTTATACAAACCAGTAACCGAAGAAAACAGCAGGGAATCCAGGAAGAAAGCATTAAAAATAGCCCTGGATACCGAAAATTCCATTGTTTAGAACTCTGAAACTCTAAACATTCAAACAACTTCTTTATTTTTGCTTTTGTTTTTTGTATATAATTTTAGACAGGGTCATACAAGCAGCCTAGGCTGGTCTGGAGCTCCCAACTCAATGAAACCATCAAAAACAAACTAAATCAGTTTATTTCCTAGTAAAAACTGGTAACACAGATATCAACTGCTGTGAACGGAGCTATGATCTAATAGATTCAACATCAGTGAAACATGACGTTAAAATATTTTAAGTCCTTTCCAGATCCAAACATTGCCCACGTTAAGCTGTCTAAGAATCAGCACGTGCAGAGGTAATCTTTCCACTGACTTCTATGATAAAGTGCTTCCCAGGAGTGGGAAGGAAGAGCATACAGTTTACTTTGCTCCTTACCTTATTATTTCTCCCACTAGCCAGATACTTGTTTGAGGTTAAAGAACTTCCTTTCCATACTCTCAACTCCCCCTGATGTTGAGTTCTAATCACATGTGTGCAAAATTTGAACTGTAGCTATGGAAACACATAAGACATTGCTGATTTGGCATCTCTAAGTGTCCTGAAGGAATAGATAGAAGAGAGGTGCAGGTAGGAAAGATGAAACGCAAGGGCTTCAGTCAGCAGCCAGACACGTCATGAACCGTTCTGAACAAGGAGTCGGCTGTGGGGGATGTTCCATAACTAGAACCTTAGCAAGCTGCTCTCGGAGAAGACATTTATGAGGTGCCTTTACACTCGGAGTCTAAGAACAGTCACAGTCACAGGCCTAACCAGGAACACTACCACAAATCCTTGTAATAAGGATTGATAGGTTGCCATGGATTTTCAACAGTGTGTCATTCTCAGGACACGTTTTTGTTTTTGTTTGTTTTTGTTTGTTTGTTTGTTTGTTTTGTTTTCCCCAAATGGAAACAAGTCTTTTTCTTTTTTTTTTTGTTTTTTGTTTTTTTTTTTCTTTTTTTTTAATTTTTAGTTATATATTTTATGTATATGGTTACTTGGTCTGCATGCACACCAGAAGAGGGCATCAGACAGTTGTGAGCTGCCAATGTGGGTTCTGGGAACTGAACTTGGGACCATTGGAAGAGCAGTTAGTGCTCTTAAGCACTGAGCCATCTCTCTAGCCCGGAAACAAGTCTTTTCAACTAGAACCTTTCAGCTTTCCATTTCACATTGCTGTGGGTGGGTAAGCAAGACAAGTTACATAAGAAGTGTAACTCATCATAACACAGCAAACAGCTGAGAGCTAGTGATAGTTTAACTGACTTTTTAAAACATAGGGTCCTATTTGACAGCCCTGGGCTCGGACTTGCAATCCTCCTGCCTCAGCCTCCTCCGTAATGACTCTACAGTCATATGTACCACCTAACTGACTTTATACTTTTAGAAAAACATACTTATCTGAACAACTGTTTAAGTAGTGCCTACTGTATACCAAGCACTGTGCTAAACTCTGGAGATACAAGAAAAAAACAAAGCCAGAGGGGAAACAACAAGAAAACCCCACCCTGAGTAATAAGGCAAGACAGACAAGATACATCCATCCACTGGTGATAGACGCTGTGGAAACAGTGGAGAGGGGAGGGCTGTGTGTGGCTGCAAAGACTGTCGACACTGAATTAAGCGAGTTAATATTATACCGAGCAACATACACTGTATTTTAACTGCACCAGTGTAGGTGCGGAGGAGAACCAAAGGCAGCTGGACAAACTCGGAGGAGACAAGGCAAGAATCCACACAGAGGCTGGTGGTGTCCCCAATGGCAGCTGGAAGATGACAGGCCCCAGATCTTTCAACACAGAGTCATGAGACTGGAAAGCAAAATTTATGAACTGTGACAGAAAGAGAGAAAAGGACAATCCTGGGTTTGGGGTCATGTTGTGTAAGATGACATGGATGGGACCTAAAGTGACAGTGTTCGCCCGCCTCACTCCTTCCTGTCCCCAACTCCACTCCACAGAGGCAACCACTGTCACACCACTCAAGAGACTGTCCTGCTGTTTCTGGCCACACTTGGAAATGTCCAACTCCAGCCCTTGACTCTTCTCCTTAAAGATCACCTACTGACTTCTGACTATGGAATTAGGAGGATTTAATGGGCTTCTGTCATGTCCACTGGCCCCACGTATGTATATTATACACTACATATTTTCTTCCTCACCCCTCAAATCACAGTTCTAAGAGAAAACTACATTTAGTTAGTCTCATCAAGGTTACACATAAGTCCTTTATGCAAGCGACACTGTATTATGATAACCACTCCTTGTGTAGGTCTGCTCCCCTTTAAAAATCATCTTTTCCATGTTTTCCTGGATAGTCTAGTCCCTCCAGACCATGCTGGACCTCTTCATGCATTGCTCCCACCAGAACACCCCCTCACCTCCAGCCTTGGAATCCCTCTCACCCTAGGCTTCATTTCCATTCCTGGATTGTGTGGTTTGCGTCCCCAGACAGAAGCAGTACACTAGCAACATAGGGAAGACAGTCCAGGCTCCAACCCAACCCCACTTCTTACCAGCATGTGACTGAGAACATGCCCGTCTCAGTGCCCCATGTGTCCAAGAGAAATGGCAATATCCTCCCATACTGCTGCCTTCTGTAAGCACTGTGAAAGCTGTGATGAGGATTCCAGGGCTGTGTGTCAAAGGTCACATTGGCGAAGCCCTGCCTGTCAGAAATGTCATTACCTAACTCCACCTTTGACTGAGAATTCAGGAAACTGAGCTGGAAATGGCTTCCTTTGTGATTGTAGGGACTTCACTCCACCCTAGTGTGGCACTCCTAATGAAAAGTGGCATGCTGAGACTAATCCTGAGCTGCTGTAAGTGATCTGCCCTTCTCTAATTTAGGGGAGGATTTCATGTATACGGTCATCAGGTTTTTACAGTGGAGGTTGATCCGGCCTTTTTCCTCTCAGGCATGTGGTTGAACCTGAGATTTGATGGGGTAAAACATCTACTGTTTCCTATCATCTGAGCTCCTGAAAGCAACATTACACAGTTTAGATCAGCATGCTAGTATCCCGTGGTATTAAAGGGCAACACTGTGTAAAATGCCAACGTGTGTTTTCTTCTGAAAATGCAGTGTTAAATATACCATAAAGTATGGCATGAGTAGGTGCTTCTTACCATGCAATAACTTGCCACTTGAAAATTATTTATCTCAGCCAAGACTTGGAGGCTACAGCATGAAGCCACCTGACCTGCAAATGTGTCATGTATAATTTGAGTAATAACATATGAAGAATACTCACCAATAACTATACTGTTGTGTGTACAATGTATGAGTCAAGCTGTGATCACTTACTGGAGGAATGAAAGTTGATGTTATACTAAATTTTGGCAGTACTTGAGTATATTGGAAATATATAAAAACGTTCCATAAGGCTGGCCAATGCTATTATAGATAAAATAGCCAAAGCCTGAGATAAAATTTTAGGATACCAGGAAATTCAGGAATTTAAGATTTCTGAAAACTTGCCAGAGGGTCTTGAGGACATCTGTCCTTGTGTGATGGCAAAAGCTTAAGAAAAACTCTACAGAGTGAGTTTCAGGACAGCCAGGGCTGTTACACAAAGAAACTGTCTCAAAAAAAAAAAAAAAAAAAAAAGGAAGCAAGAAAGGAAGCAAGAAAGAAAAGAAAACTCATAGTATTTCTGAGCTCAGAGAGATTAGAAATGCTACCAGATGGGAGGGGACAATGTAAATCAGAATGAGAA